TCAGTGTTTAACCAGCCTCACAGTAAACATTTCCTAATGTCCCACCTGAGCCTGGCACTGCTCTGTGCCATTTCTATTCTGCCATCAGCTCCCAGCAGCAGAGCACAGCAACCCATTCTCATTGAGCTGCAAGGAGCAGTCAGGTCAGCCCTTGGCCTCCTCTTCTCCAGGCCAGGCAGCCCAATGCCCCCAGCATTCTTCACGGAACTCCTTCAGCCCTCAGTTTTGCTGCCCGCCTCTGCATGTTTTCAAGGACCTAAATACCTTTTTATATTTCATATTGTCAAGCCCGTAGCAGGAGAATCACCTCTTCTGACCAGCCAGCTGTGCTGTGTTTGATGTACCCCAACATACGGTTTGCCCCTTGGCTGCCCAGATACAGCTCTGGCTCATGCCGAGCTGCTGCCACAAGCACTCCCACGTGCCCTCCTGCTGAGCTGCTCTCCAGCCACTCATCCCAATCTGTGCCTGTGTTCAGCACTGTTCTGTCCCACATGCAGAATGCAACACTTTCCTTCGATGAACTTCATGCCACTGCTGATCGTCCAGTGCTCCAAGGTATCGACATCTCCCTGCAAGACCTCGCATTATTAAGGCATCATTAAAAGACATTAGTCATTGGGATTTACAGCCTTCCATTCACCATGATTGAAGATGGCCAGCAGATATAAAAGTTATCAGATAATAATGCTCAAATGTAGCACCCTAAGATCTATGTCCCAGGTGTTGTGCTTGGCCCCTTCTCTGCACAAAACTGGATTTCCTGGAGCACTCTAGCATCTGTGAGCCGTCACTTGAGTTACTCAGACAAATCACAGATCTTTCCCTTGGCAAAGAGTGAGATCTTCTAATGCAGGATTAAGGAAACAGTTGTTCTTTCCCAAATGCTTGCTAGCTCTCATTTCCATTATTGTTGAGGATATGCATGATAAGTATGCTGATCCATTTCTCTACCTTCTGGTCTGGGTTAGGACCCATCTTATTCTTTTCTGTTTAACAATCATTTCTTGTCAAGAGCTATTTCATAGAAGAAGAACTGAGACTACTCTTAAGCAGGGCAGTTATTTCTCTGAAGCTTTCAGATGCCGCTTCCTGCCTGCGGTACCTAATAAAGTCTTGAATTGCACAAAATAACATTGCAAGATGACAGTAAATAAACCACACATGCCTGTGTGTGCTGCAGGGTGTGTGTGTGAACATGCTGTGTGTCCTGTTCTCTGGCACAAGGGCTGAAAACCAATACTTTGGGGATTTAAGACCTGCAGAGACAGAGACAAAGGAAAGGAGAAAGAAGTATGCTACAAATCCTTTGCACTGACTGCTCTGAGATCTGCTACCTGAGCCTCAGTTGTCCTGCATATTATGTTTACTCTCTCTATCCCCATCCAGGGGTAAAGCAGAAAGATGTATCATCCATGAATTTGACTACTAAAAGGAAAAAGAGTTTTGAGAACTTGTCTGCAGTCGCTGACGATCATACACAGTGACATCTGCTTTGGTGCTGTAAGTAGTGTTTGGGTAGGGAATTCCATTTGTCAGGGAGAGCATCCAGCTGAAAGAGTGTGAAACAAAGAATGCATCCAGTCACATGGCAAATATCACAACTGTAATTATCACATACGCACACACACAGAAGCCTACAAAACCACTGCAAAGTGCACTGAAACAGCTGAACACATGCAAGAGAGGCACAGATCATCCAACCACTGCTAGTTTTCTCTTGTGGAAACAAGGGCAAGGGAAAAAGACGAGGAGAAAGAGCAGAACTAGGAACTACAGTGCACAGCACTTTCTGGGCATATGAACAATGATCTGTTGCTATGTGAATGTGTTGGCCCTCTCTGCTGGGCACAGGCAGCAGCGCGGCCACCAGCGGGGATCGGGGCATCGGGACCACCGCCGGCGCTGGGGAACGCAGCACCACAGCCCTTCGGGAATGGACATGGCTCCGAGATGCCTCCAGAAAGCGGTGTGCTCCCACGGGGAGATTTCTGATGGCCTTGGCAGAAAGAGCTCAGTTCCATCCACAGACTAATTTATTGAAAAGGTAATGCGTGAAATCCTTCTAAAGAAAAAGAACAAAGACAAGGCTGTATCACCAAGACTAATTGTTAAAATTGCTTTTTGCTTCAAGATGGAACACTTACTTTGTTGGATTTTGCACTGACTTTACTTTAAATGACTAACTATTGTCAGAGCTGATGATCCTAAGTAGTTTCATCTATTGATGTTTGCAAAGACAATAAATTGGTTGTGTTTTTCATGGGAAAAACAAAATGATAAAATACAATTTATCTCCTTGAGACATTCATCTTGCAAGGCACCAACAGAGCTGACAGTGCACAAACAATTTTTATGTGGTTGTAACAATAATTTATTCACTTCTCTTATGTGAGTGGGTAAATTTGGTACAGATGTAGATGGAGAAAACCTGGCTCAAGGATGACTAAATTCCAAAGGAAGAAAACGTAAAAATATCAAGTAACACTTTAAGCCTTTCATGAATTTATCTTGGGCTTCAGAAGGAGTTAGCAACACAGATATGGCAAGCATGAGTGTACTTGTCTTCTCATTCTTGGAGTCCCCCAGTAGAAGTAGCTAAGGCATATGTGATTTATTTTGGCCAAAGAAGGTTCCACCCATTTGTGGAATTGACTCTCAGCAGCCACAGTAGAGCAGGAGGAGCCCACACCAGGACAGGCCTGACTGAGAGGAGATCAGCCCTGGGCAGCTGGCTCTTTGCCCAAAGAACTGGATGAGTATCTTGCTGTGTCCTAAAGTACCTGTCTGATTTGACTCTTCTGTTTTGCCAAGCCAAGTAAGCAACTAATCTCTCTGTCTGGAGGAAAGCATCTGTTTTAGCAGTCCACAGACATACCCGTACAGTGACTCTGCCTTCCAGCTTTCTCTCCATACCTGTCAGTCACATGGAACCTGCATATATAATAGTTCCTTGCAGTCTGAAAAAATCAGTCTCTTTGGTTTGCTATGTGTGTTTAGCAAATGCCCTGTTTGTTTGTTGTTGTTTTTTGTTTGTTTTAAATATACTTTTATATGTGATATGCTCCATAATGGGTCTTAAGACTGGCATTGTGATGGTATTGAAATGGAGATTTCACTAGTTTCTTCAAAGGCACCTCCTGGTGTGCACTGTGGAAACAAGCAGGATGCCTCCAGGTATGCACAGTGAGTCTTTGGAGTCTTCTCTGTCATGAATTGTACAAATACAGACTGGTGACAAAAGGATTAGCATTAAAAGGTCTAGACTGGCCAAAATCGAAAATCCATGCTTAATATCAGGCCTAGAGACAGAACAGAGTAGTGGCAAAAGCACTAGTCACTACGTTTTTTGTAGAGCTAAAAAAAATATAGTCTTGCTATTTTAAACAGTAAACAAAATGTCAGAATAAAAGCAGCTGGAGCAATCCTGATATCCTTCCCCACCAGCACGCATTTTGCTCTTAATGAGTCTGCATGATCTTTAATTACACTTGCAGGTACCACTTTCAACTCTGCTTCTCAGAGAGTAAAGAATGTGATTGAAGACAGACGAGAATATATTAGCACTCTAGCATGTAAAACCTGTGGTGTCAGCAGAAATCAGATAATCTGTGCAGCAAGGAGATATTATAAATACTCAATATAAACGAGTAAGGTTGCAAATTACTCATTACTATTCAAGCCAAAGATGCACCTGTAAAATATCTGCCTTAGTTCTACAGCTGAGGACATTTTATTCCCATCTCCTTCAATGCACAGTATGGGAAGAAGCAGCTTTTCACTCCACGACTGTTTGCAACAGGGAAAAGGTCTCTGAAGTCTAAACCAAGGGCAAGAACAGGTCATCTCAGTACTCAGGAAATGAAAGGAGACCACCTTGGCTAAGTACGGAATCAAGGCTGAATTCCAATGGAAAAACAAAACAAAACACAGGAGATGGAAACAGGAATGGGAACTACAAAAGGGAAATGTAGAAATATTGCCTGGGCATGTAGGGATGGTGAAAAAAAGTGTAGTACAGACTACACATAAAGAGAAACTTCTTCCTCATGAGGACAGTCCAGCAGTAGAATGGGTTGCCCTAAGAAGTTCTGTTTGCTCCATCTGTGGAAGTTTTCAAGACCAGGCTGAGCCTGAGCAACCTGGTCTGACTGTTTTAACAGGCGGTTGGACCAGGCACCTCCTGAGGTCTTTTCCAAAAAGAGAATTACCCTATAATTTGTGAGCGATCAGTACTGCAAAACTGCTTTGGATGCAGAATCCTCTCCCAGTCTCTGTCATAAATCATTCCACACCCATTTTATAACCAAAGTACAAAGCCCTTAACTACCCAGTTGTTGATAAACCTTTTTTCACATAGCAACTGTCAAGAAAGTTTTTTCTAGCCATGCTCAGTACACATGCTGTGCAGTTGGGTATATCCAGCGGATATCACATACGATCCCACATCTGAGACCGAAGAAGCCTCAGTACAAGTGTCTTAAAACTGCTTAGCTGAGACGCACCTGTGACAACTGGCTCAGACTGCCTTGTTCCTGAGAACAAAAGCCAGGATGGCAAGGGGGTACTGGATGCTGGGTGGCGGGAAAGAGAGGGTGGGAGGGCGAGACTGACGGAGATACACCAGGCAAATGCTGAGCACCAACAAAGGAGGTACAGGGCAGGTGAGGCGTACAAAAAGAGGGCCAAGCCGTGATCCCGGTGGCTGAGAGACACCTCTGTGCCTCACGCTCTCCTTGCATTCCCCTCTGTCCGTGTTCCTGCCCTACACTCCGCTCCCATCAGCTGGCACCGCCGAGCCAGCTCACCCCAGCAGGGCGGGAGCTGCCAGCACACACCAACAGCGGCCATTCATCGCCATACGTTCGGCACTGCGCGCCGCTGACGTTGTTTCCATCAGAGCGGAGGCGAAAAAGGAACGCCGGTCCACCCCCCGCCCCTCCGCCGCCTGAACACCGCCGGTCTCTCCCCAGCGCCACGCCCGCTCCGCCGCCCGGGAAGCGGTGGCAAAGACCCGGGACCGCCTCGGGAGGCGCGGAGCGGGGCGGGGCCGAGCCGAGCCGGGCCGGGCCGAGCCGAGTTTGTCCTAGCCGCGATGGAGGGGGACGAGGCGGCGGGCCTGCTGGCGGAGCGCGGCCCGGGCCGGCTCAAGACGTACCGGCGGCGGTGGTTCCTGCTGGCCGTGGTGTGCCTGCTCAACTGCTCCAACGCCATGGTGAGCGGGGCTGGGCGCACCGAGCCCCTCGGGCGCGGGGGGGGCCTTTGTGACCGGCGGGATCCGCGACGGAACGGCGTGCTGGGGAGGAGGGCAGCCGGCGTGCGAGGTCGAGGAGCGCCGCGGTGAAGCCAGGCTGGGATGGAGCGCAGGTGGAAGTGCTGATGAGAGTCCTTGTGGCCCACTGGGAGGCTCAGAAACACCGAGTCTGTGAAGGACGGCTTCGGGATGAAGGAGCACGCTGTACCCCGTGGGTACAGCAGCACGAGTTGGCTGGGCTTTAATGCTGACTTGGGCCAGTAGGCTTATATGTGCAGAATAAGGAGCGGGTGGATCTCCTTCTGGGGTTTGTTGCAAATACAGAATGCTAAAGGAAAGATTTTGCACCAGGTTAAGGATGACAGAGCTGTGAGGGGTCTGGAGCACAAGCCTTATGGAGAGCAGTTGTGGGAACTGGGATTGTTCCATCTGGAGAAAAGGCAGCTCAGGGGAGATTCTATCGTTCTCTACAAGTGCCTGAAAGGAGGTTGTGGTGACGTGGGGTTCAACCTCTTCTCCCAGGTGACAGTGATGGGATGAGAGGGAATGGCTTCAAGTTGTGCCAGTGGAGGTTCAGGTTGGATATGAGGAAATATTTCTTCTCAGAAGGAGTGGTGATGCAGTGGCACAGGCTGCCCAGGGAGGTGCGGGAGTCGCCGTCCCTGGAGGTGTTAAAGAACCGCGTGGATGTGGCACTGAGGGACGTGGTTTAGTGGGCATGGGCTGACAGCTGTACCTGGTGGTCTGAGAGGTTCTATCCAACCTTAAGCAGAATGGTGCAGGAACTTATAATTGCCCACAGATGCTTAATTCTGGAAGGCCCAAAGAAGGGACGCTAAATCACACCTATTTGTTGAGCAGATTAAATAGTTATCAAGGTAAATACTGCAGTTTCCACATACCAAGTTGGATGCCCAAATCTTTACTCACCAATTCTTTGAGGACATTGTTGATAGTTAGTCAGGCAGTGTAGATTTATGTGTTTGAAGATTACTATGCCATGAGCGCGTGCTGTCTGGCAGCCAAGGTTGGGCATGTTCATTTATGGGAAGGAAGTGTGTCTTCCATGATGCAGAAGTGCTGTAGTGGAGAAATGAAAAAATACAGTGAGAATCTGACTGTATACTGAAACACCACAAAGCTCAGATACCCTCTTTAGGCAAAATCTCTGTATCCTCTGAGGGTGCGATAAGCTGTCCTGCAGAAAAGCAAATTGAAGCTCTGTTGTTTGCGCTGTTAGGTCAGCGCAACACAAGTGCATCATGTAAAAGGAAAGCACCACTGTTAGCCTGGATGTCTGCCCTGGCTAGGAGTGGGAGTGACAGCATAGGGAAAGGATGCTGTACAAAGCTGTTACAGGCCCTCCTGGAAGACTTGAACATTGCAAATAGTTAATAGTGAAACTGAAGAGATACTTGAAATGGTCATTCAGGTACACCTGCAAGTGAACCAACGTCTTGGGTCGTGCTGCTGGGAGGAGGGTACTGTTGTCTGTCTGCTCAGTCTTGTGCCAACTTCCTGATTGTTGGCAGCCTTACTTTACCACAGTAGCAACTTGGGCCAGAACTTCCCCACATCAAAACTGTGTGCTTAATAGATACCCTCCGGTACTAATACTATTTAGTAAGCCTCTGCACATCTGTGGAATTAGCAAGTATGCTGACACAGAAAGTTGTGACCAAATGTTTTCTGATGCAAATGTTTCTCCCAAATGTTGTAGGTGAAAATCACATCAAAACAGAGGGAGTGGCTGAAAAGCCATGAAATCAACTTGGCTGGTTTCTGTTTAAAAGTTTCAGATGGAAAGATTAGCTTACCAGTTCTGTGGCATGAAAATTGCCATGCAAGTTGAGATGTGTCCTTAATTCCTGCTCAGGTGCTACATCCAGTACTTTGTGGTGGGTATTCCTGTTTTGGTGTGTCTGCAAAAGGCAAATGGTGAGCACACCCAACTTCTGAGCTCTCTTATTTGGAGAGAGAGGTCACCTCATGGGGTGGACTGAGCTTCTGTGATGACACCTTGTGTTCTGCTCTTACACACATGCGCTTTTCTTTTTAGTGGCCTCTGGTGTCAGTGAAAGTGACAGACAGCAGGCTGCCCTGAGAGAGGAGGATTGTTGTTGGTGTCATGAGGACAATGTAGGAGCAATTTGTCTGCAGGAAAGCACGCTGAGTCATGCAACAAAGACAGGCTGAGAAATAAATGTTTCTTTGTTCATTCTGTTTTAAAATTCTGATTGAGTGAAGCTGGGCCTGACCATGTGATGATGAAAAGGGAACTACCCCTGCTCTACATCATCTCATGAAATTCTTTCTCTATGAGAGAGAATATCAGGGTAGATAAAGAAGGCTTTTACACCAGAGAGAAGTTGTCTCTTTCTTGAACCTCTGTTACTGACCTGGGCTTAAGAGCCTCTGTCTGTGACTGCTCAGTGAAGTGAGTACTGTCTTGCTGGAGGTTGGTTCTCATATCTCTAAATACTGCTTTCAGGAAACTGCTAGCTGAAAACATAGTGTAAGAAATCCTTGCATTTTTAAAAAGTCCTTAAGTAAGCATCATCTACTTCATGCAGTTTCTGCCTGAAGTCCTGGGCTATGTGACACTTCTGACCACATCTGGGCTATGCTTAGGTCATTGCTCCCCAGATGTTTCATGCCACCACTTTTGAGTAAGAGGTGACATTATTATGTGGATGTTCTCCATGTTTGTTTTGTTAGACTGATACTGTGTTTTTGAGTGTGTGGGTGTTTAACCTGAAGCTTTACTTTTCACTCCTACCCAGGAAGTGCCGATTGTTGAGGCAAAAGCCTCCTTTCTCTTTGCCTCCTTCCTGCTGAGTTCAAAGGGTGAAAACTGCTTTGCAAGAGGAACTTCTTGCCTTAGTGCTGGGGACAGAGAAATGCACAGCAAAATGAGTCTGGGAGTGCTTCCTGCCCTGTTCTGTGTTTGTCAGCTTGAGTCAGGTGAAGAGGAAGGAGGAGGGAGCAGCAGGCAGAATGGCTTGCACGTGGCTGGCTGGCTCCTGACCTACTCTCCTGAAGGACTTGTACGACCACTTGGTGCACTTGGAGAGGAAGGAGAGCCACACAAGTGTTCTGCAGGGCTTTGCGCACACGCTCCTCACCCACACCTGTCTGTTCCAGCAGGGCCCTTATAGATATGCATGCACACACAGCTGCTGCTGTCCAGCGCCCGGTCCTGCCTATCTTTCCATGGTCTGTAAGAGGCTGACACTGACATCCAACCTGTCTGGAGATCTCACCTCTGTCCTTCCTTCCTAGGCTACTGCATTAGCATGGATGGTTTCAGCTGAGGCCAGAGACTGTTCGCTTCTACTCTTTGTGTCCATTTTGATGATCCGTTAGGTCGGAGAAACCTGGTGTATGGCTTTGGAGGAGGAGTACTGTGTGTCACAGGAGGACATCCAGCATCACTTTCATGGCAGCCACACTGCCTTGTACTGGTGCATGGGAGAGCATGCTGAGACTGGGGAGCTGCTGCTGACAGTGACTGCCTGATGATTGCTGAGCTGTGTCTGTTGTAAAGAACAAGGTCCCCTTTCTTATGAGCCATCCTTCTTTTCAGACTGTACAGGAAAGGTGTTACAGGGGTGTTGCCACACTGTGCACAGCTGTACAGTCTGCCTGACAGTGAAAAACATTCCAAGAGGCAGCTTGTGCTAGCTGATGCTGCTATTAACATGGCAAAATGCTTGCACCTTATTTGGTTACACGTGCTTTCCACTCTGCAAATCTTTTTGCTTTTCACATCTAAAATCTTGATTTGTTGGTGTGTGTGGAGGTAAATATTGGTTAACAGCTTGCATTTCATGAAAAGCAACATTTTTCTACTGTATCTGGTGAGTCTGTTTGTATATGTGATGTATTAACATACTTATGGTGTTCCGTGAGTTCTGGCAGTCTCAGGGTTGCGTTTATTTATGCTGCCATCTCCAGCTGTTGCTCAGTGAAGTGTTGAATCTGTGCTGCCTTTAGCTGCCCCTCATGCTGCTACCAGTGCAAGCAGAGAGGTGTTGGCATGCAGCCCACCAGTAACCTCCTGCAGAAGTGGGAGGGAGGACAGATGTTTGACTCCTTTGGAATGGGTGGAGGAAACTAGATTGTGAGCCTTTTACCAGTGTAATTAGGTTGCAGGTATGCTGAAAATCTATTCTGTAACAATGGTCATGCTTACTTATTTTTGCTCTCTGTTCTGCAGTTATGGCTGACATTTGCTCCAGTGGCTGACCAGACCGCTGCCTACTTCCACATTTCCCTGGAGATGGTCAACTGGCTCTCAATAGTGTACCTGCTCATCTCAATCCCCTTTGGTCTGGTGGCAACATGGGTTCTTGACAGCGTGGGGCTCAGATGTGCTGTGAGTTGAATCATTCTGTTACCATGAGGGCTCGTCACCCAAAGATGGTGGAGGTAACCTCTTTGTGGGTTTAGCAGCACAAAGCACTGGCATGTAGATGGTGAATCTTGTTTTGCTAAGTGCAGCAGAGGATGGCTGTGTTGAAAGCTCACTTCTAATTCAGTAATAGCTATCACCAATTTGGAAGGGGGGGAGTAGTAGGAAAAGTCATAATGAATGTTGTATTTCTCCTGTCGTTTTTCTGCTTGGAATTTTATTGCTTTAGCCATCTGACAGGGACAGACAGCATGATTCAACTATGTAAAGAACTTAGTGAGATCGGATGGGGTTTTCTAGGGAGTAGTGTTAACACAGCCATTGTGCTTGTAGGACCAGTTTAAGGAATGGCAGGGCCAGGTGCAAGCAGGCTAGTGACTCCTGTCCGTTCACAGTGTGGTCTGTGCAAAGCCAGCTTAGTATTTCAGCACAGTCTTCCCAAAAGCTGTGAGGCTTGAGATTGTGGCACTGAAACAAACACTAAGGGAAGAGAACACTAGCAGAACCTATATACTGGATAACTCATTTCCATGGTCTTTGGATCATCACAGCAAGATATATGGGTGATGGCAAAAACTTGAAAACAGAGTGAAAATAGTGAACTTTGGATTTCTACTAAATCCCACAACAGTATCTGTTGTCTCGCATAAGCTGCATGATGGTGTAGACCAGGAAACTTTGATCCTTAAGGAGTGTAAATAGGTTATCTTTGGATGAGGAACATCCTGAATGATCCAAAGGGGTGGGGACAGTCTGCAGGCAGCTTTCTGTGCAGCCATTGTTAACAACTCAGTGTCTCCAAGAATTCAGCTGAGACCTTGCTTATGCTATGTTGTTGTATTAAGTTTTGTCCTTCGGGTTGCAACACACAACCCATGGCTGTTTCTGCTTGCAGGTGATCCTGAGTGCATGGCTGAATATGATGGGTAGCATCATCCGGATGTTCAGCGTCTTGAAGTTCATGAGCTTGGGCTCCCAGAATTACTGGTACCTGTTTGTTGGGCAGTGCCTCTGTGCATTGGCTCAGCCTCTTGTCATCTTTTCACCAACTAAGCTGGCAGCTTTATGGTTCCCAGATCACCAGAGAGCAACCGCAAATATGATCTCATCCATGTGTAAGTGATACTACACGGTAACTTTGTTACCTTCCAGAACCTGCTAGAATTTGTGCCACTTTCAGAGGCAGCCAGCAGGGGAAGCCTTCTCTACCACAGCTCTTAGGCCTTGCAAATGCAGCTCTGGCCAAAGGTGTCATAGCTTCCTGCAATAAATCAGTGCCTTCAAAGGCTTCAAAGGACAGGCAGGCATTCTCATGCTACCAAGCAAGAAATGGGCCTCAGCCATGTCCAGGTGCAGAGTTATAAGTGAGGTTCCCAGCCTCCTTCCCCTCTGCCATAACAAGATGACTATCTCTGCTGAGGATAGCCCTCAGCATTACTAAATCTCAAGTCTGCTCACATGGCTTTACCTGTGCAACTTGTTGAAGATGTGCAATTTACAAGCTATGCTTGTGGTCACAGAATCAAATTCTGTAACTAGATAGAGGTGAGGCTGCAGCAGCAGTTTTGTTCACCAGTTCATCCAGTAGCAAGGCTGAGCATTTTTTCCCAGTGCATACATTTTACATGCATACATATGTAAAATATACTTGACAAGCTGTGCAAACACACTGAATGTGCTAAGTGCAACAGGACTATGCATACAGAAATCATTTCTCACTTGTAAAGTCCCTAAGCAAAAGTTTCTGGAAGCTGGGAAACTGGAAGTACCAGATCTGCTTTCTCTGACCTCATCCCTTTCTTGGTTCCTTTATCTGCTGCTAGAATTAGGATACTGCACTTAAAAGACCTGTTTCCTCCTTCTGTGTGACATTTTCCTCGGCTTCTCTCTTCCTTGAGATGTGCCCAAAAACTGGGCTGACCTGCTGGTTCCAGCTGTCAAATCATTACCTGGAGGTATGAGGAAGATCCCACACTGTCACAGAGTTGTGTCGGAAGGGATAAGTCAGGGGAAAAAGCCAGTTTAGAAGGACACCTATACAGCTTTTTGCGACTGGTAAATTCAGACCATGAACACTTATTTATAAGGATGGATATGTGATGTTAGAACAAGGCATTTCTTTTTGCACCACCTTCCCTAGAGTAGGGTACATAGTTACTTCTTTCTCAGGACTAAGATAGATCTTCACCTTCCCTTCTGGAGAAGGAGCTCTGTTGTGAGCGTGCTGTGATACTCCCAGAGGAATTCAGGTGCTGGTGGGCACCACTGGGCACTGCGGTCCTTTGCTGTGATATGAAGGATCATAGCATGTAGAAATTTGATTGTTTTAAGTGAGAGAGCAGCCAGAGCAGCTAAATAGTATACCATTGATGTACTGACCTTAGACCTTACATGAATAAGTGGACTTAACTGTGGGAATTAATAAAACTGAAGAGCTAGGAATAGTAGATACTCAAGGTTTGAATCTGTTCAAACAGTGGCTTGCTGAGATATCAGTGTGAGGACTGAAAAGGCTGTGATAATTATCTGCTGTGACGCCTGCATATTGCTGTCTAGCAGGCTTCCATTAGTAGTGTCTGGTTACACCCATTACTGTCTGCTGTATAAAATCAGAATTTCATTTTTAAAAAGGGTTTGAATATTGCTTAGAAGGAGCATCTGCCACAGCCTGTTCATTTACTTCAGTGGTTAATTACCTCACTAACAAATACTTACATGTTACTTCTCATGCTTGTTGAGCCCTGGCCATTCAATCATGTTGAACCTGTTTGGCAAGCAGTTATGGGCAGTCACCTCAACTTAGCTTTGTCTAGGAAGACTGAAATGCTCCAGTGCAGTCACTTTACAGGCACATTTCCCTTTTCCTTTTCACACGTATTTTCATGTCTGCTCACAGAAGCTTTTTCTCCCAGCTTGTTCCAGTATCCATTATCCACTGTGCACTGCTCTAGCGTTAATGCTAGAGCAATGTTCAGTATTGGAGTACTATCTGCACCAATACTGTATGCAGAATCTGGCCCTGCCAGTATCTCCACAGGTACTGGTAGTACCTCTAAGCAGGATTTGCTGTTTTTCTGTGTGCAGATAGAAACAGATCCTCCATACAGGATCCAGCTGAGTAGCTGAGATCACTATTACTCATCGGTGCTCTTCAGTATTTACCATATGCAGTCCTCTTATCACTCCCAAAGACCTACTCATATAGAAGCAGTGCAGGGCCTAGAACACCATGAGAAATTCTCCGGTTTATATTTTACCCAAATACAGAAGTTTTAATACATCTCCCTGGGAACTGTTGTTTAATTATTTCCATTTAAAGTTACTTTGGATAATATTTCACCTGGATTACATCAATGAGTACTTTCCAAATACAGAGCAAGAATGCTGTGATTGTTGTGTGTTGTAGCAATATTAATGATGCTTTGGCAGAACTGCCTTTGTTCTATACAGAATACTGGTGTAATTCAGTGATTGAGCTCTGGAATGTCCCACACATCATTAATACTCTCCTACTAAGGACTGGTGGAAGGTGTGCACTGTGTACATGCTATGCGCTTATTGGACAGTCTTCACAAAATGTAATATTAGGCTGCTCTGGCTGGTTCCCTAGCCATATGGATTCTCATTATTTTAAAAGGATATTTTGCTGACTTTTTGTTCCAGACTAAATATTCATACATCTACAGCGCTACCAGATCCTGGCATGTTTGCTGCTTCTGAGAATAAAATTGACAAACACATCCAGCACATATGCCAGAAGGTAGCCAGACACCTACCACTTTTTAATATGTACACTGTTCATGTGGGAGAAGGATAAGATAAACCAGCTGTATCTCAGCTCCTTCTCCTGAACTGCAAGTGCCTGCAGGATGCTAGTTTTCTACTTACTGTGAAAAACTAGTCTTTCAAGGCTGGCTTGCTGTGAGAGTGGCTGATCATGCTGCAGGAATGTATAGATGAATAAGGAAACATGGTGCCAGTGAAGCACTCAGGAGACATTGAACTTGGAGGAAGGCTAAGGAAGTGACACATGAAAGCATTACATTGCATTCAGAAGTGTCCTAGCTAGTGCTAGGATACATATTTTCCTAGCTCCAGACTCAGGTGGGATTCTGAGGTTGTCTGGATTTCTCCTGTATTTGTTGCTGTTCCTATATAACATCAGGACAGATTACATGTAGTGGTTTACCTTCATTAAGTCCCTCTGTTACTGGAACAGCCTTGTGAGACACCATAATTTGTATATGAAAATCAATTTCCAGCTTTAGGTCTTGTAGGAAAATGGATGTGTAAATGGATTTCATGACAATGAGGGAACAAATGTGACAACAGTGAGACCACACAGTTAACTTCTCTCACATGTTCATGTCCTGGTTTCTCCATTGGTCTGACTGTACTTGTTGTTTTTTTGGAAACTGCTAGTTGGTGCTGAGCGGTGGTATAGATGAATAAATGATTATGACTGCTTGCATGAAAAACATCTTTTTATTTTCTTCTAGCCAATCCCTTGGGTATTCTTATAGCAAACGTTCTGTCACCTGCCCTAGTTCCTGAAGGAAGGCACATCCCATTGATGGTAAATGAAAACTGATTTTATTAGCCACTGGGGTTGGTTGGGCTTTGTGTTTGGAACAGTGGAGCTGGAAAGACAAGTAACATTGCTTTGCTTTCTGTTGTGTAGCTAGGTGTTTATGCCATTCCTGCCCTAACGGCCTGTATTCTAGCCACTGTGGGGATTCGTGAGAAGGTTCCTCCAACACCTCCTTCAGCCAGTGCCACTAACTCCACCTCTCAGCCTTTCTTCCTGGGGCTTAAAATGGTAAGTGCTGTAGCACAGAGAGGAACCAGTGTTTAAATGAGAGATGCAGCTTTGACAGGCAGGAGTGTGTTGAGGAACCTGCTGAGAAAGTAGGCTCTGATCCATCAAGTCTGCCATGGAAGGTTCTCTTCCTCAGGGAATTAATTCTACTCACAACAAAGCTGTGAGGGATACTATCTGACCATTTAGCCGTGGGCTGGTTGCTCTTTAGCCCAAACAAGAACACTGGACTCCTTCTAGAAGACTGCACAGCCTGAGCTTTCTGGGGTGGTAGTAGATGCAGTAACAGATGAAGAAGAATTTGGGCATTGAAGAGATCCCTCCTTCTTACATGGCCTCTGTTTTTTTACTTGTCTACTGGCTGAAATGAGAAGGGGTTCCAAACTCCTCTGATGCTCACAAGGTTGCCCTCAGCATTTCTAACTAAGAGGTCAGAGCATCTGACCCCCACATCTATTGTCACAGCCTGGCCCTTTTTCCTTCACCATTTGTTTAAGTATGTTAACTTCTTTCTCTAGCTCCTGAGAAACAAGCCCTACATCATCCTGGCAGTGTGCTTTGGAGGAGGAATTGGGATGTTCACCTGCTTTTCAGCTCTGCTAGAACAAATCCTATGTGAAAATGGTTATTCAAATGTGAGTTTTCTCTCTTCCTCCCCACTGACCACATTTTCTGTGTTCCAAATGATTTCCTTGATAACTAAATCAGAACAAAATGAAGAGAACTGAATATGTTGCACTGTCTCATATCTTATTTGCATGTACTCTTTAATGTATGTTAAACAGTACATTAATGCCCAGCACAGTCAGTCTTTCAGTGTAATGGATGATCTAGGTTTTTATTACTGCCTTTGTCCAGGCTTACCTTTGCAATTTAAAAACCTTTTCTCCCCAAACACTGTATAGGGTGTTGCATTTTCCTAAGCTGCTCTATAACACAGATGTTTAATCAGCCTTCTGATACCTTTTCCAGAGAGGTGTGGAGGCTCATGTGGGCCCTAGAATGAGCAGGCTGCTGAAGGCTGGCTGATGCAATTCCATTTTTACTTTAGGCAGTCTTACATGAAGCCAAGGCAGTAGGAAATCACAGGTACTGTGACGTATCTGTTTCTCCACTCTTCCCAGGGTACTGGCCAGGTGCAGCTTTCACAGCTGTACACAGGGTTTGCACAGCTGGTTCCTCCTGCTGTCTCCTTGCAATAGCAAAGGGCTGTACCAGTTCCTGTGTTTCCCCTTAGGCAGACAGCACTTTAGTCCCACTGCTTGTATCCTGCTGGAGTCCTCTGAAAACACTCTTAACTCCAGCTGTTAGATGTCTGCACATTGACCTGCCTTGCTGCATGTTCAGCATCCCTTGCCAGGCATGCCAAAATTTGTCATCCATTGAGACCTCGAGACTACCATAACCCTGTTGTCCTACACATGTAGCAGCACTGATTCTGGGCCTAGTTGTTTGCAGCCCACAGCCCTACAGTGAAAACTTGCTCTGCCTCAGAGAGTGACCCACTAGCAGCAGGCAGGTGGATCAGTCAGTGACATTAAAACCTCATTCCTAACCACTGTGTTTTCTCAGCTACTTAATTTTTATGTTCACTAGGTATTTGCTGGTCTGGATGGTGCTCTGTTCACAGTATGTGGTTTGTTGGGTGCCTTCCTGCTAGGACTATATGTCGACCGGACAAGGAATTTCATAGAGTCCACTAAAATCTGTTTCTGTCTGAGTGCCCTTGCCAGCATCGTTTTTGCAGTGGTGAGTTCTCCCTTGCATTGCACCACACCTGTGGGCTTACTTCTGTTGCCATGTAGTAAATCATCAGCTCAAAACAGGGTCATTTGATGTCACAGTATTTATTAAGCTTTTATTAAGATAGGATTTTTAACAGGAAAAGCCCCTTCTGGAGATTTCACGTAGTAAATTTGGAGTCTCAGACAGAGTTTCAGGACATAAATGAATTGATGCAATTTACTTCCTTATGTTGGATCACTTCTCTCTTACCCCTCCTTTTCCTCACCCTTGTCCCATACAGATAAACAACTAGTTCAAAGCAGTAAAATAAACCCCACCCATCCAAATCTGCTTAATGCCCTGCTGTTTTGAACTCTGATTCCTGATACAGTTTGGATTTCACAAACTCCATCCAGGCCTCTGGAGCTGTGCTGCGAGACACCTGCTGTTTCATTGAGAATTTAAAGCATGACTAAGGAATGGGGTTACCAGCACTCTGGCTGCAGGGCTTATGCTCTTAACTTTCCTAGTGGTGAGACAAGGCCATTTTTTTCCACCAGACCTAGGAATTAGGCTGCTTTGGGCACTAAACTTCTCACTAAAGTTTGTGGATAATTCAGGTTTTTTCTTTGTGTTTTTTTTAATTATTATTTTTTGTTCATTTGTGTTTTTTTTTTTTTTGAATATCCCAGTGCTACAAACATGAATTTAACATGATAAGGAATACTTTTAAGTGTAAACTGAGCTGTAGTATCCCAGTGAATTCTCATATGTAGTTCACTGCAAATGCCGGTTCTGAAATGCTTGTCAGGATGACAGTGTGCGTTTCACTCGGTTGTGGAGATAAAGCAAATGCACTTGGGCTTAGTAACTGTTCAGAAAATCAAGTCACAGTACTGTGACTGCATCCACATTCTTCACATAATTCTGCTGATCTTCTGTTGCCTGGCTTAAAAAGTGAAATGTTCACTGAGTAGCAATTTGTTGACTCTAGAGGTTTGAAGAATAAAGAAATACAGTGCTGGTGGATAGCAGATGCTTGGGAGTTCCTGCAGGTTATGAGTTCAAAGACTTTGTGTGCAGCAAAGTTGACAGTGAGATTTTTGTGCTTTTTCTGCCTGCAGGCTTCTCGGTTCAGAGATCAGGCAATTGCTCTGGCCATCTCCAGCTCAATCTTTGGTTTCTTTGGTTTTGCCATGTACCCTATTGCCATGGAGCTGGCAGTGGAGTGTTCCTATCCTGTGGGAGAAGGCACATCTACAGGACTGATTTTTGTTGCAAGGTAAGCAGGCAGGTTAAATCCAGGTGACACTTGAACGTGGGTTCCTGTGCACACACAGGTTCATGGATGCAGACAGAGCAGAATGAGCATTGCTGTCAGCCATGCCACTGCCTTTGTGAAAGGGTTGAGGTGGCTGGCTGAGCTGTGGAGCTGATGAACTTCCACTAAGGGTTTTGGTACTGTTCTGCTGCCGGAATGACTGAGCCCTAAGCAGTGTTATGCCTGTTCAGTACCACTTTTGTGTAATAAGTGGAGCTGCAGCAGCAAGAAACACCAGTCAAAGAGGGGCAATAGACACTTGATTTGAAAGCACTTGTCTCCCACTCGTTGTGAACTTCATTGTTGCTACCAGCCAGCTGTGATGAGGAGGAGGCTGAAATCTTTTTCCCATCCTCACCCCTGCAGTGAGAGGCATTTTCAAACCTAAGGCCAGTGACTAAGCCTCAGCACCTTGACAGCTGTAGTTCAATACCTTCCCATCTTTGCACCGTCATCCTGCTCTGTTGGCAGGGTGTTCTGAAAGGCTGATGTGGCCTGTGAACCAGAGCCTGTTAGCCAAGGGCATTGGTCAGGAACAGCTGATTGCGGTTTTCACTGCAAGAAGGACCCTGTTCTGGAAATGGGCATTGCTTCCTTTCACTGAGGAAATTGGACTTGTCTTTGTCATTGGTGAAAGAAGTAGTCACTGCATGCTGGTTTCTCTCCACAGCCAGATTGAAGGTGTGATTTTTATGATTCTGCTGCAAGCCCTCACCGTGCGTGTTTCTAAGGACCCATCTTCTACCTGCGCTCTTGACCAGGACGGAGCCCTAGACTGGACAAGTAAGCACATCTTTAAGAAACAATGCTAGATGCTCAGCTGCACACTACTCGTTCCCCACTCCCGCCCATGTCTCACTGTTAAGGACCATGCAGGACCAATTTCTACTGCACCTGTCTCTGAGCTTCACCACACAGCCACTCTTAGCAGAAAATCCTATCCATGTAGCAGACACAGCCTGTGCTGCTATGCAGTGTAGCAAGTGAAGACTACAGACACACTGACTAAAAATTAATTCCTTTGCTTCTGCACGCACTGATGTTACAGGGTTTATAATGTACCTGCACAGCTTTGTTCTGACTTACTCCACACTACTGTTCCTAGTCAGGAGAAGACAGAAACTGAGATGAAGTGGAGCACAAATATGCTTGCACTATAGGCTAAATTCTTGTTTTGATCTCTCATTTATGTAATACTAACATGAGTTCTTAGGGACATACTGTAACACAGAGGCTGGCAAGCATTTTTTTTTTTTTAATCTTCAGCTGAGCAGAAATCCCCAGAACCAGTGCTGCTTGCAGAGAGGGAACAAGACTTTGCTGTCCCCAAAAAGCAAATTGGCTTCTTCAAGGTGGTGAGGCTCAGAGAAGCCACAAATGTCCCATTCCTTGAGGTGTTCAAGGCCAGGTTGGATGAGGCCCTGGGCAGCCTGAAGTAGGGGGTGGCAACCCTGCCCATGACAGAGAGTTGGAAATGGAGCTTGTAGTTTTCTTCACCAGCCCCCAGCATGCAGCTATATGCACACATGCACACAGAAGTACATGCAAATGTATTCCCACAAACTCACTGCATGCAGTGATGTAAGACCTCCAACCGGTGGGGCCAGGCAGGACTAGAGTCCTGGCTGATTTCAGTCAAATCAACTTTCAGAGTCCTTGTTATGTGAGGTGGGATTTGGCTTTCACCCAGCCAGTGTTGCCCAGTCTTAAGCAGTACATTGTCCTCAGGCTAGCCTTAGGGAGATTATCACCTGGACCATGAAGTTGCTCTAGACTTCTGCAACACTGGAGAATGAGGATTGAGTTCACTGTCTAAAAGTGTATCTTGTTTGCAGTTCCAGTCCTGTTGATGGCGGGCCTCTGCAGTGCCATGGCTTGTTTCTACGTCATCTTCTTTCACACTGACTACAAGCGGCTCCATGCTGAGACAAACAGTAGTGACACGGTCAAGGCAGAAGATACAGGATCAGATGATGTTCCTGAAGCCTAATCCAGCTGAAAAGGTCATACCAAGGGACCAGTTAGGGAAGGACTCAGGCCTGTGAGCAGGGTTCAGGACTGCATGTGCTCAGCTGGCAGGTGGGGATATGGGTCCTGCTGCAAAACAAGCACTTTGGATTTCAGAAGGGGGGGCTGCAGCAGTCATTGGGCACATTTGCTGTGCTTCCTCCAGTCTGGTATTTATTTGTGAGTGTAGCAATGGGCTGCCAGAGAGATCAAAGAGGAAATGGACAACTGATAACAGGGATTTCTCGCTGATTTGGTTCAAGCTGAAGAAATGTTGCAGAGGACAGGAGCATCATATTTCACCATTTTTGCATGTGTACTTAGATTAGTAGAGAAGCTTTCAGAGGGGTGGAAGTACTTCCTACCACAGACATGCCAGAAAAATTGCCTTCAAGAGCTGTGGTTCTCATACAGTAAGGATTCTTCCTGTTAACTGTGGAGCTAATTGTGCCTCCTAGGATAGTGTGGCAGGAGCTACATCATTCTGCTGCAGTGAGAAGATGTAAGTGTATGATCTGCAGTATAAATCTGTTGCAAGTCAGACACTAAGGAAACAGGAAAAGAAACAGGACTGTTAGAGAAAAAATGAGTAAGCAGCAAACATTAAGTATACCAGTTTTCCTTGCCCTGTCTGGTCACTTGCCAGATGCTGAGACATTTTAGATCAGTTTGTTTTAACTGGGCTCCTGTTGTTTCATCATCTGTCCTGCAATTCCATTGATTCAAGCTTTGCACAAGAAGACAAACTCGCTGGTGTGATTAGGGTTGTATATCCCACCAAGCCAAGACATGCTTTCCCATAGGAGAGCATATGCAGAAGTCAGGTCACTTTTTTGTGAATGGTGTGACAATGCTTGGTGGTGCAGAACTGGCAAGAGAACTGGCAAGATGACCATGTAGAGAATGGATGGCAGCTGCACAAGTTACTGCAGATGACAGGGTTTTTTTTGACGAAGATCAAATGAGAAACAACAACATCAAAAAACCTTAAATTTCTTTCTGCAACTGACAGCTACTCTTCAGCGTTTGAAGAGATTGTTAGTGACACAAAAGATCCCTTTGGAGTTCAGTTATGCTACCAATTGCAATGGGTACTTTTCATTTTTACAGCAATACTTGCACAGCAGTCCAGTGTCCTGCTTTGGTGTTCAGGTCTTAATGTACAACTTCAGGACTTTCTACCTTCGAATATTTTGGTGCTAAAAAAACTAGATGGTGGAACTTGGGGATGTTTCATACCATGGAGCTTGCAGGGGGATCTCAGAATTGTTGACCTCTGAAAACTGACTGTTTTTTCTCCAGTTTGGTTAGATGATCACAAGGCAAAGGATGCACTTTCCCTAAGAAATAAGGTAAAAAAGAACTCTCTCAATGACTGAATTCTCTTCTGTGTTAGCATGTGGTTAGCTATATATGTTCTGTTCGTTGCCAGGATGACCTTTAAAGGTTCCTTCCAACTCAAATGATTCAGTGATATGGAATTTTCTCCCTTTATAAAACAAATTCCTGCATCTTTCTAGGGGGCCAGCTAGTTCTTACAGCTCCAGCCTTGCTGTCCCTTGCAAGCACTGATGTCTGTCAAGGTGAGCAGGAAGGATGTCTTAAACTGAAGTGAAGCAAGATGAATACAGATCTGTCAGAGGAATGAAATTAGCCATCTTTGATATTAACTTGTTGGTAATTTCTGCAGCCCTGGAACTAATACACGGAATTAACACCAAATACACCCGTCACTTCTGAGTCCTGCTGTACTGGGAAGCAAAAATCACTTGGTACTTTATAAATTTATATATTGACAAATACTTATGTTTTTTAATAAAGGGTCGTTTAATAAAATATTAAGAAAAAATTCATCTTTTCTCGCTCTATTTTATAGATGGCAAGGGTGCATCACATCTGCTACAGCAGAAATCAAAGGTTTCTGTGCTTTGCATTTGTGCATTAAGTTGTGTTTGAAATCATGATGTTGAGTGGTATCTCAGATCTCTAAAAAGGCAGTATGAAATTAGCTGAAGGTGATGCTACAGTTACCTTTATGCTCAAGGACAGTTTAAGAGAGAGTGGTAACTAATAGCAAGCATCTTCAAAATCTGTAGTCCTAGTCAGAATCTACCTTACAGGAGTTAAGTACTCTTATCTTTATCCAATCATATAAGGGGGATTTGAAAGGCAACATTTTTTTCTCCATCAGACATACAGGTGTGTAAAGCTTATTCTGCATTCCTGATATAATGTGAAGTGGGCTGCTCCTTCATAAGGGTTGTCATACACTCACAACATACTGCAAAGGCATTATGGTGTGGCTAACAGTGGAGCTAGGTAGTTGTGCACAGCTTGCAGTACCATTTATTTGTACTGGTTAGGCTAACCTAACATTTAGTCTCCAGAACAAGAGAGTCAAGTTTCTGCCCAGGTATAACCATAGCTACAATTAGCTTACTGCTCTGTGTCTTTCTCAGGAGTGCATAACTCAGCTGCTGCTCATAGGCCTCAGAAAGCCTGTGAGTAGTGGGAAGCTGAAATCTTCAGGATAGAGGGGTTTTGATGTTAAGGCATGGGCCTGGCATGCTGGATTGATGGCTATTTGTCCTCTTCTTGCCAAAGGTCTGCTCTGACGACATTAGCAAGCTTTCTGTGACCCCAGTAACTCTCATTAAAGGCCTTGGCAGTAGATATCACTGGTACGGCAGAAAACCAGCGAAGATGGGTGCTCCTTGTAGTGGTCTGGTCTCCCTAGAGGCTTTCTGGTTTTCTAAAAGGCAAAGATGTAAAGGTCATTTGGTGGGTCAGCCAGCTGCTCCCATCATGTAATTCTAGATCTTAAAGGAGTCTTCTGTGACAGGGATACACATTCTTTCTACCCTTCTCACAGATGAGACTAAGAGAACACTACTGTTACAAGAAAACCAGAAGCCAGACTCAAAGACCCTGCAGCAGCTCATTTCAAAGACTTTCTGCAAGGCACTGCCACCACCTGCCTCGAGAACAACTGTGCGAAGTGGGAGATGGTTGTAGGCTTCCTGCAGCTCCTCAGAACAGCCAGCTCTCTGCCCTCTTGATGCAATCTCCTCTTGGGACTGCATGGGCCTGGCAAATGAAGGCCAAGTTCTCAGGAGTCTAGGGGTGAACTATGCTACACCCTGGAGACCAAGCACTTCTCACCAAACAGTTTCACCTGCACTGCCCTGTAGAGACCAGATTTAACTGTAGGTGTGAGGAAGGTAGAAGGAGTTGTACAGATAAAAGCACTGTATAGGATGCTCCTTTGAGTACAGCTACATAAGAGCCCTGTGGAGAGGTCAGGTGAGCTGCCATGAGGTGAGCTGCCAGTCACCAGTACTACCATGCAGCACTTCTGATGGGGCATGTCAGCAAAGAGCTTGCTGCCTCCACAGCTATTTGCCCACTAGTACAGGATGCCAGCTCCTACAGGACTGGGTCACCTATGATATAGACTAGGGTATATAGGTGCACCTCTTGGTCCGTAGCATGTTTAAAACAGGTGGCTCTGTTCTCAGTTCCAGTGTGTTCACATGGCTTTGCAAACAGTTCCCTCTGTAGCTTTGGCTCAACTCAAAATGGTGGTTTAGGATCGAAGAAAATATGTCCCAGCACCACATATGCTGCAAGAATGAACAAAACTAGACTATGTGGGAGGCTTAGTGGAAAAAGAACTTGGAAGGGTTTTAGGAAAAATATTAACTTTCTGCCTGGGCAAGTTTTTTTCATTTACACCCTGTGAGATCCCATTTCAGGAACTCTCAGTCTCTCAGATCAGTTTCTAAGAGTGTGGTGACAGAACAAACCTGGCCATCAGAGTATATAGTTGTGACCACTGAAGACAGCAAGGTGCTTCTGTGGGGCAGTTCTGAATTTGGAGCTTGTAGTTTCTATACAGGAAAAACCAAGGCAGTAGCAAGTGGCAGTAGAAGATTGGAAGTAATGGGACCTCTAGAGCATTGGGCATCTCAAAACTCTAGAAAGCAAGGAAAAGCAGTAGGCAGACAGCATTTTTCATGGTCAAATCCCACTGGTGGCAAAAGTCAAGTTGTAGCTTCTCCTGAAGCCCAGACATATGTGACAGCTAAACTCACTCTGCTGTTAGTGGGAGCAGCTGAGGCTCAGGGCCTCTGGTAGCTGTACTACTTTGCTACCTCAAATCCATGGGTTGGTAGTAACCATCACTGCTAGCCCCTTTTCTGAGACACATCTGTGTAATGTAGGTGTAAGATGTCAGGGTTGGACCCAGGAGAGCTGGAAACCTAAGCTGGGCATTGTTTGGAAGGGATCAGGCAGGAGTTTGAAGCATTTTTGGTGCTTTTGGAACCCAGCAGGCTTGAGGATCTTTGGGTACCCTTGTTCAGAGTTTGGGTCTATTAAGGGACTATGGAGAGCTTGGACAGATTTTGTTCTTTAGAGTCCCTGAGGCATACTTGGAGGGTGCTGGAAGTGGAGTTTCAGGAGTGTTTGGGGGCCATAGGACAGGTTTTAGCAATCAAAGGCAGAATTGAGCATCTCTGGAGATATTTGTTCATGATTTGGGATCTTTTCAGGCCCCCAGGTATGGTTTGTACTGGTGTGGGAGATGCCTCTCAGGGAAGCAGAGTTGGCTGATCTGGGACATGGGAACAGGCATGGGGATGTTTGTTCTCCCTTGGGAAGGGGTTAGCGGTGTCTGGGGGCTTAGGAACAGCATTTAGCAGTGGGGGCCCCTTGTGACAGATTAGCGTGTGCTTGGGGAGCTCTGGGGCAGGGTTGGTAGTTCTTTGGAAGCAGTTGAGTAGATGTGGACAATGATGACTTGAGGTCTTTGAGTGCCCTGAAGCAGGTTATGAGGGTGTTTCAGGACCCTGATACCACTGAGGAAACTGGGGATGCTGAGGCTGTGTTTGTGGGCATTTGGGAGAGATCTCAGAAGATGATTAAACTTTTCCTGGGGCACACTTTTGGTGTTTTGGGTTTGGGGTCTTTAGGGGCACCTGGGTATATAGCTGTCAACATCGCTGGGAACTGTTTCAACAGGGTTTGTAGCCCTACAGAAATGTTTTAGGGTGGTCTCGGGGAGTGAATTAAAGCAAAGTCTGTTTGAAGTTCTGAACTGATTTGGAGTTCATTGAGAAAAACTGGCCAAGCTATGGGGTCTTGTGGAGCCAATAATTATGCACAGGGTATAAGAATATGTGAAGTCTGATGGAAGCTTTGGGACAGTGTTTGTGGACCCCTAAGCATGCTTTAGGGGAGTTTGGGCTGTTCCAAAACAGAGTTTAAGGTGTTCTGTGTCCCTTGAACTGGTTTAGAGGTGGTCTTTGTGGGCACTTGGACTTGTATTGAGCTGTTTTACGGGGTTAAGGGAAAGGCTTCTGGGTGTTTGGAGGAAATCTTTGGGGGCCTGGAAGCAGAGTTTGAAGACTTTGGGGGGTCACGGGGCACATCTGGGGTCATCTGGTTCCTCCCTGGGAAGGACCTGTGGTTATTTTGGGGCCCGGGGGAAAAATTAAGGGGTATCTGTGGGAAATCAGGGCTTGTGGGTTTGCAGAGGGGAAAACTTTCATGAGCTCAGAAACAAGGTTTGGGATTCCTGGGGGCCATTATACACGTTTAGGGCAACAGGGAGGTCCTTGGGTAGGCTTTGTATGAACTGATGACAGCCCTGAGGAGCGTTATTAAGTCTTCCGGGGCCTTGAAACAGTTTTTTGGGTTTTTCTGGGGAGTATTTTTGGTCCCTAGCACAGACTGAGGTCTTTGGGGTCAGTCATGCAGCGACCAGGAGCCCTGAAGCAGTTTCGGTCATTTCGAGCAATATCTCACGGGCCACGAAGCAAAGCACTGGCTGTCGAAAGCATTACCCCACTCGCAGGCCCATCACTACGGCCCCAAGCCGCCTCCAAGCCCACAGCCGGCGCTTCCACGCATGCGCAGTGCCGCTTCCTCGGCGGGCCACTCGATAGCCCGTGGCCGCACGGGGGCGGTGGTGCCGCGGTGGAGGCCGGGGCGGAGGCGGGGGGACAGGCGCGTGGATGCCGTCGGCCGTACTGTGCGTACGCATGCGCTCAGCTGTGCCTGTAGGACGGAGAACGGCTACTGCGCATGCGTTTGTGTTTTGATTAGTGGTCAGGAGTCGTGCGCGTGCGTACGGCTCTGCCCGCAGTATGGGCTGAGCGCCAGGGTGGGGGGGCAGTGCGCATGCGCCTGGACGTGCCAGCGGTGCGCGGCTCTCCGTGTGTGCTGCTCTCGCTGTCTGTTCCCGTGTACCTCCAAGCTGCGTAGGCACTGGGGAAGAGAGAAAGGCTCCCAGGCACAGGAAGAGTCCATCTGTAGCTGTGTCAGCGGCTCCTCGGGCCTCCAGAGGTCCTGCTGGCAGCTCTGGTACCGCAGCGCCCAGCTGTGGTTCAGGGTAGAGGAGCTGGGGCGCCATAGCGCAGAGGCAGACAGGAGAGGGCACAGACGGCTCTCGGCCGGCAGTGGTCAGGTGTTCTTGCTTCTCCTCTGTGGGGGAAGGACAGAGCGAGGGCTTAGAGCTGGGGTGCTCAGCCCCTGGGGATGAGAGGTGCTGCACACCTGCCAGGCACCAGCAAGGCTTACTCCTCTTCCAGTAGCCACAGACTCATTTTCCAGAGCAGGGACAGGTGTGCCTGGAGTGCAGAGTGAAGATGTTCTCTGAACTTGGGAGGGTCATGCTGCTGCATTTCTGTCTTGTGGTGGTGTAGGGGTACTTTGTCTGGGCTCGCAGGGTGCTGCCAAGGTTGTACGCTGTCTTTCCTGTTCCTGCTTTGCACAACCCTGTGCAACCTCAGGCTCCTAAGTTAAGGCAGAGCCTGCCTGTCCTGCCTG